CCTGGGCTAGTGATGGGGTTCCCCAAGGGGTGAGCCTCTTGTATTGGAGGGAGGGTCCTTGCTGTTAGCGTGCTGGACCCCTTTCTCTCTTCCCCGTGGGGTGGGGTGGGGTTGGGTTGGCTGGAGACCCCCAGAACAAGATGCCGGCGGGGCCGTGAGCTTGGGAAGGGGCCAGTTTAGGCGATACAATCTTGAGTCAAGGATACAATCTGAGATACAATCGAGTCAACGGAGGGATGAATGGATCCCCTTCCGCCCCTCCCCCACCCATGAATCAGAAAGAAGAATGAAATTGACGTCCCTGTGATAAAGGCGCCAAGGCTGACTTGCTCATCCTTGGGGAGGGGAGGGGGGGGAACCCAGAAGCTTTGCTGATGGTCTCTGTGGCCCCATGAAAATGTTCCTTGAGGGGTGACCCCCACCCCCCGAAATGGAGACCCCGCTCAGGAGCAACCTTGGCGCTCCCACGGAGGACTTGAGAATTGAGGGTTTTGTTTGGGGTCCCTAGGAGTTCTGTAGATGGATAGGAGCTTGGTTGGAGGGGTTGTTTTTTTTTTAGGGGATGGGGCTGGGAGCCCCCCCCTCTCTTCCCACCTCCCTGCTTTCTCCCTGGACTGGGGTGGGGGGGCAGGGAGAGGAAGGGACGGCCGGGACGTTGTTCCACTGGAATCCTTTGTCTCCCTTCTCAAAATGGTGGAGCCCCGCTTTTGGAGGATTGGGAACAACAGGCATGGAGGGGGGTGGGAGAATGCCTGGAGCAGCCCCCTCCCCTCACCTCCCAGCCCCCTTGTTGGGCATCTCCCTGCAAAGTCTGCCCCCTTTTCACCCCTCCCTACCAAAAGGAGTTGGAGGAAAGAGCCTTGGGGAGGGGGCAGGAGAAAGGAATAAGGGGGGGGGAGAGCCCTGCTTTGAAAGAGGCTGCCCCCCCCCACCAAGGAGGAACCAGCCAGCTGCTGCTCCTCTTGCCGTCTTTCACCACTTCTCCCACCCCCCATTCCGCCCTTCCCCCCCTCCCTTTCCACCAAGCCCCTCCCTCCCTCTTCGGCTGCAGCCAGCATTGGTGGTTAAATCCAGACCGAGCTGCGTGGTTTCTCTACCCTCCCTGCTGTGGACTGGCTGCCGAATCTAATTCCCTAAGCCTAATCTGGCAGGCTTTGGAGGAGGTGGGGAGGGGGATATGGAGGATGGGGGGGGGGAGAAAGAGAAAAACTTAGCCCTGAGAAAGTGGTTGCCAAAATGGAGGAGGAGGAGAAGAAGAAGGAAGAGGAGGAGGAGGAAAGAGAAGAGGAGGGGGAGGGAAGAGGAGGAGGAGAAGGAGGAAAAAGGAGGAGGAGGAAAGAGAAGGAGGATGGAAGGGAGGAGGAAAAATGGAAGAAAGAGAGAGAGAGAAAGAGAATAAGAAACAGGAGGAAGAGGAGGAGGAGGAGAAGAATCATCTGTTTGTTCTGCCTTGAGTAAAGATGACAGCTCCATTGCGCCCCCCCCTTCCTTTTTGCTCTCCTCCTGCCCCCTCTTTCTAACTCTGGCTTTTCTTCTCGGGAAGAAGGTAAAACTGGAACAAAAGTTTTGGGGTTAAAAAGCTTGAAGTTTGGGGGTTCTGCAGCACCAACGGTCTGTTTTCTTCCCCCCCCCC